CTCTTCGGCCAGAGCCCGGCAGGGAGAGGGCCGGAACGGCGGAGCCCCTCGGAGCTAGGTGCCTTGCCCCTCACCATTGCGTCTGCTGCCGCCGGTTTGTGTTGTGTCTCTTCTCTTCGGCCAGAGCCCGGCAGGGAGAGGGCCGGAACGGCGGAGCCCCTCGGAGCTAGGTGCCTTGCCCCTCACCATTGCGTCTGCTGCCGCCGGTTTGTGTTGTGTCTCTTGGGTTGTGAGATTGCAGAGGCAGGAGCAGCCGGTGCGAGCCCTGTGCCGTGAGGACCCTCTGTGCTGCAGGACGGCTTTCTGTAGCGCCATTGTGTTTCCAGACCTGTTTCCGAAATAGTTTAGAACTTAACTAATTTTGTGTGTAGTTATCGATCACTGCCAGCACTATCTGCTCACGGTCACAAAAGACCTGATGCATCAGCTGTCACATTTTTGGGGCTATGCTTTTATGTTGTTTTATTCCCCTTTCCCTATCTCTGATGCAGCCATCATACCCATACTTTTTAATGATAAGTTGTTTGCATTAAGCAACTCCATTTCAGTTATAATACTTCACATGCTTGCTTTGTTAACTTACTCGTTCTGATGTGCTGGAGAATCATTGTTTTTGTGATGCTCACAGTGCTGTGTGAGAGTCTGAATGCCACTTTAGTGAGACTTTAACGCGTAAGTAGTGAGGAAATCAACTGTGGTAATATGGGTTTTCTTCACAGTCCGGTCAGATTGCAAAATGCACAATGTTACTGTCCATTACTCTTCCTCTGAACTCGTGGTCTCTACAGGTCCTGCTGTATCCCCTAGCTGAAATTGAAACCAAAAGTTTTGAGCAACTTTTTAATGAAGAGTTGGTAGAGGATGTGCTGATACGTAGCAGTCTTATATGTCCAGTCACAAGTTCTATTAATAATGTGAAGAAGAGGAATGTGTACTTGAAGGAGTGTTCTTCACCAATGCTTGGAGCTTGTGGGGTGAAACTTCAGGTTCAGTGGACAGCTAAATTAAGTAGTATTTTCCTCATACAAAGCTCTTACTCAGGACATCTAGTTGTAGTTAACTTGGTGGAACAGGACTGTAACTGCCCAACTGGGTCTTTAGCTGCTTGTTATTGATAATTTTTCCAAAGTATATGCCGTTATGCATGTTGGGACAGGCTTACTTAAATGGCAAGAAACAGTGGAGGGAAGAGAAGGTTGTGTAATTTAGAGCATGGTGTGCTGATAATCAGTTAAGCAGGAAGGCTGAAAGAATCTAATCTGGTAACAGACCTGAGCGGATGCTACCAAATTGCAGGTTGCTTTTTAGGTGGAGATTACCAAGACTGTCAGAGATGTTTGATAGGCTGCTATGAGTGAAATGTTGCAGTCACATGTGATTAATAGCAGGAGATTAACACAGAGGGAGACTGTTGGGGTGGGAGGGAAATGTCAGACAATTGGGTTTTGAAAAGACTGGTTTAAGTTGAAAAGTATAAATGTGTACCACAGGGCTCTACAAACACTTTAAATTTAGGCCTGTCACTAGTAATCCTAGGGATAGGTAGGCAAAAATGGAGTGACAGTTGAAGAATACTTCCTTTCGTAGTTCTTGGGTTACAATTTGCTCTCAGAGATATCTCTTGGTCTGGATGGTAAGCTCTAAAGGCAGGGGATTGCTTACAAAACCGTGATACAGGCTTTCAGCCTACTTTAGATGTATTCAGAAAAGAATATTTATTCAGGGCTTCTGTATTTCCTGAATGTTTCACTTTGTGAGCCCAGACCGCCATTGAATCCATGCTGTCTTGCCTGCGGGATGACTGATAAAATTGTGTAGCTGCTTGTATAATAGCGAATCCTTGCAGCACATCATTGTGGCAAGTTTTTGGTACAACCTATGGTTTTGTTCACTGCTTACAGAAGTTCAGCTTCATTTAAAGTAACTGTTTTCTAAATAACCATAGCAGGGATAAATAAGCATGCTGCATGCCAGAAATTGCACAAGCTGTTGCTTTAGCTGTCTTACAATCAGTATTTTCAGATGGCTTGTAATCAACACCTAATTTCTTTGCACTTCGCAATACTTTGATTTACTGGTGAATAACACTGTAGGAGGGATTTCTGAGTAGGGTGTGTTTGTGATCTGAACATTTTTGTTGTCCAGCAAGTTTTGTTTCCCTAAGCCAGTGAATAGGAGTAAATTATGAGAAAGATTTAACTAACAATACAGTACATCCATTTGTGCCTTTTTGGTTTTCACTGGGAGCCAAAGTATGCCTGCTAAGTTGATAATTCAAGTCTGGAAAAACAACATTATCATTTTAATCAGGGTTGCTGGCAGTTAGCATTTTGTTGCTGTTGAGATTTCTTCCTTCTCCCTGCTGTGCCCCCCTCCCCAATTTCCTTATCTGGAAAAATCACTAGCAGTAAGGGGGCTGTGAATGTCAGTTTATTGATGCTTATCTATGTAGCAAAAAATACAGTTTCAGAGGTGTTTTGAGGCTCTTTTGTTAGACATAACATCATCCGTGACCTTTCAAAATTGTCAGCCACTTATTCAAAAACATTTTACCCTAAAGGAGTGTAAACCCCCTAAATTTATATAATGCATGTACTGAGAAGTTGATTCACCACAATGTTGTCTGAATAGAGATCTGTGGGTAGGATCCATTCTGCTTCCATTTTGTCCTTCTGTGTTTTTTCCTGGTAGAGATATGGGACCTGTAGAGGTTGGGCCAAAAACTGCTGCTGTAAAAGTTAAATGTCACCGTGTGGACCAAGCGCAATACAAATGAAGAGTTACTGCAGCCAGCATTAAGTCCATACAAGAGAAAGAGGTGGGCTTGAAGGCATGACACTGCCCGCTCCCTGACGCACAACAGCATTTTGCTGTGCCTGCCCATGTAGCATGTTCAGGGGATTCTGGAATTGGATTTTGGCCCTGCAGCTGCCCTCACCAAACTGTCCTGGCATTCAGTCTTCTACCTTGAAGGGCGCAAGTGTGCACAAATCTTTTCCCTTCAAATTTCAGTGAAACTGTCTATTTCTTTGTAATTTTCCTGTTGTCTTATGGTGGGATTTGATTGAGAGGCATTGTTTGAGACATGTTCTTAATGTGCAAAACTGGGTATTAGCACAGGTGAATGCTGCATGTTGTTTCTAACAAAAGTTGTCTGTCAGATATATGTAGTTCAGCTTTACTAAATTAGCCAGAGAGAAGGCAGCAGCTATCCCTTCTTCTTCCTTTGAACATTCTCCATTTTGTAGCTTTTCCGTAGTTCTCCCAACTTCACATCATGCATTCCATTCACATTTTGTTTTCCTTCCTAAATGCTCTATTGGATTTTTTTGTTGTTGTGCCATTCCTGTGCTGGATGACCTGAAAACTCAGCTTCCTCTGATTACTTCTCATGTTTGCTATTGTTTGCAACTTCTCGCTTCTGAATGTAAAGTTAAGGAAGAAGTTGGAAGCACTTATTTCTGTGGTGAAGTTGGCCTTTAACTTCTGTCTAGCCGTTGTTAAAATTGTTGATGACTTTTATATACCCTTTTTTTTTTTGTTGTTTAGGAAAGATTTCTAACTGGACCAAAATTCCACCACCACTTTTCAAAAAAGTTGTCATTGTGCTGATAGATGCTTTGAGAGATGACTTTGTGTTTGGATCCAAAGGTAAACAGTTCATGCCGTATACTACACAAGTTGTTGAAAAAGGGACATCCTACAGTTTCATTGCTGAAGCGAAGCCACCCACTGTGACTATGCCTCGAATTAAGGTAAGTGGGTATTTTTCCACTTGGGGTTGTTTCATTTGAGAAAATTTTGAAGGCTGGGTTGTTTCATATGCTCGGAGTTGGCATAAAGGGCAGGTTTTCTCTGTTACTGCAATTTGTGGCTGAAACTCACTTTGCTGTAGTAGTGCATATGATAAAGTCCTGATTTTCCATGGCCTTAAGGTGCAGGAAAGGGCAGGTCAGGGATTGAAGGCTGAGTAAGAGGAAGAGGTGGCAGCTCCTACTTAAGTCACTTAGCCTTGTTTTATTCCTTTATTTGGTAGCTTTGTGGTGGGAAGGTCTGTGAGAATCACTTAGGGGCAGTTAAGGCCCTAGTGCAGGATTAATTGATCAACATAATCTTTCAATTTGTAATCACAGGAAGGCAGTAGCCTCTCAGTTGTCAAATTTTCCAGTTGTCTTCTATCCAAGAACATTTTTGTTGGTATTTCTCTGTGTTATTGTAACTTCTGATAGGAAATCCAGTTTAGTGTAAATTTGTCATAGGGAAGTTTTTGCATAGCTTAAAAAGAAAATTGTGCGAAGTTCTAGATAACTGAAAGATTAGCTGTGGGTCTGTAATGAAAATACTTGATCATCAAGGCTTCTCAGTGGTGGATCTGAGTGACATTTCTTCCATGGAAGAAGCTGAGTGAGTGAGCTTTGATAGGTCACCCAGAAGGCCAGTGAGAGAGTGAGGGGGAAATAGCCTGGTAACTCTTGATTGGTAGACTTCATTGCATTTTCCAGAAGATTCTTAATCACTGTATTGAATGTGCTACCATTGTTATTGTTGTGTTAAGTCAGTTTACTTAGGCCTCCTAAACTGTCTTTTTGGTGATTTTATGATGAGTAAATGAAGCAAATTTCAACTGGCATACAAAGTTGTTTTGCTGTTCACTAATTAAGCAAATAGTATTTTTACCTTTCTGTAAAGCAGCTATTATCTCTGACATGAGCTAGCACTATGTTGTGGCAGGTAATGTGGTATGGCAGCTCATGTGTTCTTTTACTTTACTATGTGTTTTTATTGAAAGTATAATTTCTCTACCCTCTGCTTCATTGCTTCCTTTACGCTAATACTATCTTCTGAGTACTGAAAGACATTTTAGTTTCTGTTAATATGTCTCTTTTCCTGTGTTATGTAGGCTTTGATGACAGGTAGCATACCTGGTTTCATTGATGTTATTGTGAACCTCAATTCTCCAGCTCTGTTGGATGACAATCTGATATGGCAGGCAAAAACAGCTGGGAAAAGAATTATCTTTTATGGTGATGACACTTGGGTTAAATTGTTTCCAAAGCATTTCGTGGAGTATGATGGAACAACATCCTTTTTCGTGTCAGACTTTACAGAGGTGAGAGACTTTATGTAATCCTAAGTTAAATAATGTGAGTACAAACACATAGTAGCAAATCCTAAGAATGAATGAATGAATAAAACTGTCCTTGTTCTGAAATATGAACCTGGCAATTAAATAAAAATTGGATATGTGTTTTCAGTATTCTCAATGTGGAGCTAAGTATTTCAGTCCCTCATACCTATGCTGTGGAAAGTGTTTGGATGATACAGTAACAAACAGTGTGTTACCGTTTAACTTTCCTAAACGTATGATATTCTCACAAAACATGTTGCGGTAGGAAGTTAGACTACTTGCTTTGTTTAAAAATTCTGCTATCCATGTTTCCAGTTTGCTATCACATTTATATTAGTATGTGCAATCCTTAAATGGCCCATTAATATATAACCTTGGTCTCTTAGAGGCATACTTTCTGGAGTATTGTATCACTTTTGTGGTTGCAATGTGAGTAGTGTTTCAGTGTGTTATCAAAGAGGGAGCATAAAAAGTAAATGAAACAAATTAAGAAAATTCTTATTCTGTGCACACTAAAAGAGTAAGTGGTTTGGCAATTTTAGCTCATATTTTGAACCTTTATGATTTGTGAAAGCTTGGGCTTTTGACCTGCTGCTACTGACATAAGTATTTTAGTATGTTTAAGGAAATTAGATAGGTCTAATGTGAATTGGAAGACACTTCTAATTGGTTACTCTAATAAGACTTGCAGAAGTCTCAACATGGAGTGGAAAAATGCAAACATGCTGCTGCATCTGCAATTAGATGGCTGTCATGCATATATGCTCTTTATGCAGTCTTTATGCTTTCTGAATATAGTCCATTACACAGAAAGCTTTTTATAATTTTTTAGTTAGTTACATCCAGAGTCAACAAAGCTGTGTTACATGTGGAATTTTTAAAGGATTTTTAATATTCAGGGAGAAATATATGCAACTAAAAATAGCTCGTCAACCTAAGCAAGGGAACATGTGAGTTAGGCCCCAAATAGCACTTTTCAAATAATTTTTCTTCCTTGCTATGTTGTCAGCTCTTTTTCTCACAGCAAGTACAATCTTTTTGTGTTTGCACAGTTGCAATAATCGAGTTGAAAAAGCAGGAGTGGGGTTTTTTCCCCTGAGCTTCCAAGCACCAAAGAGAGTCTTTTCCCTGTACCTACTTCTTGTGAAGTGACAAATCAGGAGTGTGAAGGATGAAAGTGACTGAAAATGTCTTGAAACAGTTTTTAAAAGTATCTGTGGAAGCATGGCAACCCATTTTCTCTGTTTGTATGTAATCTGATGCCTCATAACCAGAAAAGAGTGATATGGTGTGAAGAATCTGTCTAGTAAGATAGATTGTTGTTGGTTGTTTTTTTTTTTTTTTGACTGTCTGGCATTGAACTAATCAATCTAATTTTTCTTTTTTTTTTCTTTTTTCTTTTTTTTTTTCCTGTTAGCACTGTGAGTAAGTGTAATTCTTATCAGCTTCCACAGATTTTTTTATGGGTAGTGCAATCTAATTTTTCTATGCTTTTTACAAGAGGGAAATATTTTTACCTTTTAATTGTTTTCCTTTTATTTCTGAGGTTGATGATAATGTTACCAGGCATTTGGACAGAGTATTAAAGAGAGAAGACTGGGACCTCCTAATACTACATTACCTGGGGTTGGACCATATTGGACATGTGACTGGGCCAAACAGCCCATTAGTGGGACCAAAACTTCGTGAAATGGATAACATCCTGAAGAAGATTCATATTTCTCTTCTTTCAAAGGTAACATAGCTCCTTTTTGGATCAATGTCTGTTAGTTGTGGACTAACTTCAGAATGCTACCTTATTTGTGGGCGGTAGCTTGTTTATTCCTAGACCAAAGAGGGTATTCTTCTGTCTTTTACATTCCCTGGCCATTCCCCAGTTAACCATAGAGCGTAGCATTTTTAAGGATTTACTGGCTGACCTTAGTAACATCTGTTAAGTCTCTTCTGAACAGCTGTGGGAAATAACTTCCTGTTGGTGTGCAGGAAGAGGAGAGGAATGCATGCCAAAATTCTCTTATCACTCATGAATTAAAACAATGGTTGGTGTGCTTTCTAGTAATGAAATTCAGCAGAAGGAGTAATGGGCATATATAGCCATGGTTTTGATTTCTGCAATTGTGAAGGCATACCTAATTCTTAGATATTGAAAAGATTCAAATGGAAATAGTGGTTATAAACAGTGTTTTTCTTATGCTAGATGTAGCACATAAATAACATCCTGTATTTCCAAATCTAAAAACAGATTCAGATTTGGTAATTTATCTAAGTAGTCTGGACATTGAAATACCAAGTCCTAATTCCAAGTGGCCTGAAGCTTTTTTCTTGTTTGCTTTTGGCAGCTGCAATTCAGAATAGCTGCTCATAAAATTTCAATAGTATTTTTAGACTAATGGATACTATTATATGAAAATAGAGGTTAAATCCTGCTTGTGAAAGTTATAGTCTGATGAACGTTGCAGTAGTTTTGCTGCAGTTTGTTAGTATGTTTTGCTTTTGCCAACTATATGCAAGCTTTTATCTCAGCTTTAGAATACAGGAATAATGAAAGCACTTTACTTTTAGATATGACAGGTACTGGTAATGACTAGACATGACAAAAAGCTGCTTTATTATGTAATGACAATATTTATTTTCTGCTGTCTTTGATTTATTAGCTCAATATTGTTGGACAGGTTTCACTTAGACTTCTGTTTCTTTTTGTTCAGAAGAACATCATTTGACACTAGTCATGTCAGATTTCTACCCCAAAAGCACTTGAGAGACTAGAAACTATTAGAAAGAGGATTATCTTTTTATATTAAATTTCTATTATATTAATATTTACACTATTAATAATTTAGCATTTATATTAAAAACTCAATGAAGCTGAAGAAATGGAGGATGGAATACTTCTCTGTTAATGCAACTGCTCCTGGACTCCTGATTTTCTCCCCACAGTATGATGACCTTTGTTTAATCCCTCAGTCAGTTTCTTGTGACTCTGTAAATGAGAGGATTTTTTAAAGCTTTTTTGGGTTTTTTGCAACATACTGACAAGTATCTGAGATACGTATGTGTGCCTTAACTGTTAAAAATGAATATTACTGCATAACACTTAGTTGCAGACGTCTCTTGTAATCCACGCTAGGTGTTGTGAGTCAGTTTAAAAAATGGAATTTATTTTGAGAAATACTAATGTGTGAAAATTATAAAGATAGTGAAGCATTATAGATACACATCTTGTTTGTACTGTAACTTAAATTTATTTCTGTGACTTGCAGGAAGAAGCTTCTCTGCCCAATTTGCTAGTTGTTTGTGGGGATCATGGGATGTCTGAAACAGGTAGTCATGGTGGTTCTTCAGAAGGAGAAGTGCACACACCGCTGCTGTTTATCAGCTCTGCTTTTGAAAAGAGAAGTGGTAAGAGTCAAAGAAACTTGACCTCTTCTAGAACACATTGCCATCTCTAATTTATATTGGCTCTAGAATTCTTCCCGAAAAGTGCTGTGGTTTGTTCTACAGGTATCTGGCAAGAGCCATTCTGCATGACCTACAACTCTGGTTTTAGTTACATTTTACATCTATGTCAAAACTTAAGTTTTGTAACCACTGAGAGAATTGGGTATTTCTCAGATGATAACCTTTTGCACTTCTGTCCTACTTGAGTGTTGAGAGCTAATGAGATCTGTTGTCAGGATCCTGGGATGCTGGTAAATGGATAAAATTAGAAGTAAAATCCTATTTGAAGTGAGTTTTAAGTTTTGTCTTTCTTGGCCAGCATATTTCCCTGGGCCTCCATTCTTGTCCCTCAGACAGCCAGGATAGAGGAATGAATGACAGTTTCTCATTCTGAGAGTAACAGGAAAGAGGAAGAATTGCTCTCATGAAAGGATGAGAGGTGACCGCAGTGAAAAAAACACTATTGATTGCTAAGTGTTAAGGAAAGAATTAGGAGCCTGAGTGTGTTTACTGTTTTGGCTGGGCAGTTAATTTTAAATCATTGATGTGAATTTGTTTCTGAAACTCATTTTCTACTTGTATAATATAGCTTAAGGTAAGAGGCAAGATGGGAATGGTGCGGTAGAGAATCTGTAATCTAATCTGTAGAGTCTTGCTTAAACTCCTTGACTGAGTGAATCGGTGAAATGTAGTTATACCTGGAGTGAATATTTTCTCAAAATAATTCTTTCTTCTGCCTTTCATTCTGCCACTTGCTCATTTCCATCTGATTTCCTTACTTTTAAAGCCTGTTTGGAGAAACTTGCCTTGTTTATCTTGCTCGAGGTTCTTGCAGCACAGTGGAAGCAGATTTACCTGTCTGTCATTTATATAGCTGTTATCCAGTTGCAATAGAAAGCATTGCTTGAGGAGTCATTGAACTCTTCAGTTTATATATAAAAACAAAAAAAAGTCAAGAGCTGACCAAAGCTCTCAGGTAAGTTTTTGCTTTATAAATGTCACTGGTATGTGTGGACAACCACACCACATGAGTGTAGATTCTGTAAATGCAATCTCTTATTCATTGGGATTGGTTTCTGTTAGGTTTAAACCAAACATGCAGCTTTTACAATACAGTGAAATATATCTATTCACCTGTCTTTTGGGACCAAGTTTGTGATTTCTAATGATGCCCATGTAAATATCCAGGAGCTTGCCTTGCATTGCTACAGTAATCAGAATTCTATCGACTGCTCCTTATGATGCTACTGTAAACAAAATGTACTGTGGTTAATTTGGTAGACCTTAAAATAGTAACCTTGTGGGCTTTTGCATTTAGTATGCTGTCAGAATATTACTTGTGTAGCCTTCTACAGAGATGTGTCACCCATGATTGGCTAAATGCATTTGGTAGTTTGGCTTTTTTTAACCAGTTAAGAACTTGCCTTTAAAGATGAAATCTGAAAACTGCTGACATACAGGCACTCATGCAAAGAGGCTTTAGGGATTATAGATGGCATTCTATACAAGTATGGGATTAATCAGAGCTAGATGAGAAATGAGAGAAGTTTTAATGCTCTTGAAGGGAGCCTCGAGACTAATAAACACTATATATAGAATTCTTTCTGTACTGTACTTCAGTCCAAACACTCAATGCCTGGAGTTACAGAGAGAATGAAGTAATAGCATAATAGAAAAAACACTGTTATGTAACTAGCAAAGCGCACAAAGAAACAATTGACAAGGCAATCTTAAACAAAAGGTCACTTATGTTAGTGAAATTATTCATGCATGTAGATGGCTGTGGGACTGAAGGCTAATCCTAATAACTGCAGTAAGGTAATGGGATCCTGCAGAGAACCCTTTAAAAATCACTGGGTTTGCCTGCACAGACCCATGGATTTGGGCCTCAAGATTCTTTACCTGACCTCCAGTTCTGTTTGCCTAGCAACCTGATATTAATTAAATCTTGAGCTGTTGTCATTATATTGAGAAGCTTGTAGAATGCTGTCAGCTTCTTCATTCATGCATTAAATTAGTCTATTGTAGTGCTTTCTATTCTTTCTCATGTAAAAGTTATCAAACCCTCTTAGGATGTAGGCTGTGACTTGCTATTAAGGTGTTCTCCTGGACCATCTCTTCTTCCTTGTACTTGTATAACATTCATGTTTTAGATCACTTGAAATAGCTGACCTAACACCAGTGAAAACATTTTGAAACTAACAAGATGCCAGCTGTCTCTGGAGAAATAGAATGGGCTTGTTATTGAAATACTTTTTTTCCTCTTTTTTTCTTTTCTTTTCCTTTTTTTATTGATTCTAGGTCCTTTAACCCAACCTGAACTTGTGCAACAAACTGATTTAGCTAGCACACTGGCAGTAGGTCTTGGCCTACCAATTTCAAGAAACAGTGTTGGGAATCTTATATTGCCAGTTGTAGGAGGCAAGACAATGAGAGAACAACTACGTTTTGTGCACTTGAATGGGTTCCAGCTTAGCAGGCTGCTGCAAGAGAATACACCTGCATATGAAAAAGGTAAATCAGCTAAAAAAAAAAAGTTACATGTACAAAAGGAGGTTGTTTATAACACAGTTTGGGCTTTTAGCATGGCACTGCAAATCAGCCATTCTGTTGAGGGCAATGTTCAGAGAAATGATACTGAATTCAGTCTTTACTGTAACCTGCTGTGGCACACTGCCTCTGAATAAAGTTTTTTTTAACATCCAGTACTATTCCTAGTAGGCAAAAGAGCAGCAATGATGATGAAAGAGTAAGACTAAAGTAAAACTGCCAGTGTAGTTAAATCTCAGTGGTTTCATACCTGCTATTTGTGAGGTATCCTACATACATATTGATTCAGAGTTATTTAGACGAATAGCACAATGGAGTGAATTTTCTTGTTTAAATAAAAAGATGCTTCAAGTAAAGCTGGGAAATAATTTAGGGTAAGTTATCTTTTTATTTCATTCTTATGTATGAATTTACTTGGAGTGAGAACCTAGAGAACTGTAAAGTTTTTTATTAAAAATACACATAGGTGTGCATATACATGTGTGCATGTATTCGGAGGAAAGAATGAAAAACAAGTGGAAAAATAAACGAAACCTAGCAATTTTTTTTTAAAATTAGTATTTTGTTAGGAAGCATGATATGAACTGCAATATTAGTAAGCAAGTTAATATGATAATTATGTGAAAAAAATTGAGTCAGAGGATGAAGGAGAATAATTTACCATGAACCTTAGAAGATGTTGTCTTAAAGTGACTGTGAAGCTTGAAGCCCTTGTCATTTGATTTATAATCTGTTGAATCATTAAAATAACTGGATGAGAATGCAGAGCTGTGCTATAGCTATGAATAATTAAAGTGGGTAACAACATCAAGTTTAGCAGGATGATCATTTTAGGTCAAGAATTAATTGTCTTTCAACATCACGGCTTCTAATCATATGTAAACCCTATCCAGGAGTCTAAGAAAACAAAGGCTGCTTAGGGTAGCAACATGTCTATAGCAGGACCCATGCTCTATCTATTCTGGTGGTTTTTTTTCTGCACAGATTTCCTCACTTAACCCATTTGAGTCAAGTGAGGAAACTTGCCCTGTTGGTGAAGTTCAGGATACAGCTGTGTTACTGAAAATTCCAACACAAAGCTCCATCTAACAGTATTTCTGCAAGCACTGGTGAAACAGACTGACATTTCTACCAGCTTCGTGTTTATATCTTCACTTTCATTTTATTTTTGTCTGAGAACAGCTTAATATCAACTTGTAGCTTTCATCTGAGAAGTGAAATCAAAATTGCTGAGAATGGAAACGTGGTAAATTTTTATGCTACTTGCTTCTGACTGCAAACTGTTATTAGAGGTACTACCCTGCTGGAAAGGGGTTGGGAGGCAAAGCATCCATGATGAGCTTCTCTTCTTTCAGTAATGGAGAGTGTCAGTAACATGGAACTAGATCCAAGTAATGGTAGGTTACCATTACTTTAGGTGAATTCTCTCTGTTGCTGTAAACTTGTTAGAAGGTGACGTAGTTTAGGCCCAGCCAGCAGCAGAGCACCACACGGCCGCTTGCTCACCCCTCCCCCAGCGGGATGGGGAGGAGAACGGAAAAACAACGGCAAAGCCTCGAGGGTTGGGATAAGGGCAGTTTACTGGGACAGCAAGGGAGAGGGAAACAGTCAACAACAGTGCTGATAAGATATTCACAATGGGCGATAACAGAGAACAATTTACCGATCCCATGACCGGACCGACCGACTGACCAGACACTCAGCTCCTCCCGGAACCGCACCGAAACCACACCGCTGCCCGACTAGCCCCCCCTTTTATGGTGAGCATGACGTCACATGGTATGGAATAGCCCCTGTCCAGCTTGGCTCACCTGTCCTGGCTCCTTTTGAAATTAACTCTACCCTTGCCAGAACCAGGACAGAAGGTCTTTTTTTTTAGAGGGTCCTAGGTGTGCAAGGCTGTAAGTTAACGCTTTGGTCAGGACAATTAAGGTTGACAGGGAAAAGCGTGCTGTTTGTTTAGTGTTGTTTGATTGATGTTGATACTTCAGGCCCTAGAAATACTAAAGAAAATGTCACTAACTCAGTGGCTAATGCTGCATGTAGTTTAAAAGCATGCATGAATGGCCCTTTTGGGTTGCTTCTAAATGCCATCCCACCTATCTCACTACAGGCATATACATGTGTATGCATATCTGTCATGATTCCTATAGGAAAGGGATTATCTTGCAGAGTAGTCACTATATTTAGTAATCAGATCCATCTTCAAGTAGGATCCCCGTTTTTTAAAAGGGTAAAAAAGGAGGACCCTGGGAAGTACTGACCAGTCAGCCTCACCTCTGTGCTTGGTAAGATCATGGAACAGATCCTCCTGGAATGCATATCAAAAGACAGGGAAGACAAGCAGGCAATTAGAGATGGCCAGCATTGCTTCACCAAGGGCAAATTGTTACTGACTAATCTAGTGACCATCTACAACGGAGTAACTGCATTAGTGGAACAAGAGAAAAGCTATGGATGTCATCTACCTAGACTTCTGTAAGGTCTTTGATACCCCCCCCCCCCCCAACATTCTTGCTGCTGTATTAGAGACATACGGGCTTGATAAATGGAGTCAGAAGAAAGTGGCCATGTCCAAGAATTACGTTCAATGGCTCAATGTCCAAGTGGAAACCAGTAACGAGTGGTGATCTAGTCAAAGGTGTCCCTGCCCATGGTGGCAGGGGTGGACTAGTGGATCATTAAAGATACCTTCCAACCTGAACCATTCTATGGTTCTATGATTGTAAGTTGGGATGGGGAGGAGGGAGAGTTGCCCTTTATGTGAGAAAGCAGTGGCAGTGCATGGAGCTCTGTCTGGGGGTGGATGATGAAATAGTTGAGAACTTCTGTGTCAGGATTAGTGGACAGACCAACTTGGTAATATTGTTATGGGTGTCTGCTACAGACAGTCTGATGGGGAAGAACTAGTAGGTCTTCAGACAACTTGAGGAAGCCCCATGTTCACCATCCGTGGTGCTCATATGCTGCTTCAACCGTCCTGTTGCAGTTCAGGCTAGATAACTGAACAATGAGGTGGACTGAAAAATGGCTCAGCTGCTGGGCTGACAGAGTTGTGATTAGCAGCACAAGGTTGACCTGGAGGCCAGTCACCTGGGGCTTTACAAAGGCCAATACTGTTCTAACATCTTCATTTATCATAGAAACATAGAATGGTTTCGGTTGGAAGGGACCTTAAAGATCATCCAGTTCCAACCCCCCTGCCATGGTCAGGGACACCCTTCACTAGACCAGGTTGCCCAAATCCCCATCCAGCCTGGCCTTCAACAGTTCCAGGGATGGGGCCTCCACAGCTTCTCTGGGCAACCTGTTCCAGTGCCTCACCACTCTCCCATTAAAGAATTTTTTCCCTAATATCTAATCTATATCTGCACTTCTTCAGCTTAACCTGGGCAATGGGACAGAGTGCCCCCTCAGCAAGTCTGCACACAACACAAAACTAGGAGTGGTTGATGTAGTAGGTGGCTCTGCTGCCGCTCAGAGGCACCTTGACAGCCTGGAGAAATGGGCAGACAGGAACCTCTTAAGATTCAGCAAAGGGAAATGCCGAATCCTACACCTGGGAAGAAATAATGCCATGCACCAGTGCAGATTGGATACTGACTGACTGGAAAGCAACTTGGTGGAGAAGGACAAGGGGTCCTTGTGGACACCAAGTTGAACATCAGCTAGCAATACACCCTTGTGGAAGGAAGGCCAAAAGCATCCAAGACTGCATTAAGAGGACAGTCATCAGCAGGTCAATCCTTACTCTTTCCTTACCAGTGGTGAGACCACATCTGAGGTCCTGGGCCCAATTCTGGGCTCCCCAGTACAAGAGAGGCATGGTTATAATGTAGTGAGTGCAGTGAATGGCCATGAAGGTGATGAAGGGATTGGAACATCTGTCATAGAATGAGAGGCTGAGTGTGGTACGACTGTTCATCAGGGATCTTATCAATGTAGATAATACGTGATGGCAAGGAATAAAGATGATTAAACCAGGGTTGTCTTGGTAGTGTCTGGTGAATAGACAAGAGGGAATGGGCACTACAATTGATATACAGGAAGTTTTATTTAAATAAAAGAAAACTTTTTTAATATATATAGGGGTTGTCAAACACTGGAATGAGTTGCCCAGAGAGGTTGTGGAGTCTCCATACCTGGAGACATTCAAGACCTGACTGGACACAGTTCTGAGCAATCTTCTCTACCTCACCCTGCTCTGTGCCTTTGGTTTTTGTTTGTGAATCATCTGGACACTCATCACAGTTGCGCTGATAAAGTCTTGGTCCATACCATTTCTGAATTCCACAGACAACGTGTGCTGCCAGGTTTTTTTTTGAGGGAAAGGAACCTCAGAAGATAACCCAATTAGACATCTCACTCACATTTGCTACTGCAGGCTCAAACTTCCCAATGCAGATTCTCAGCTGATAACAACTGATAGATCATAAAATTTCAGTTGAATACTGAGAGAAATGCATCTGACTGGAGCTTTAGTTTAAAGTGAAATATACTTGCAGGCATAGCCTAAGCCTTTCTGCTTTTTTTTTTTTTTTTTAATTATGATTATTTTCAGCTCAGAAAGAGTAGGTTCTTCTGAAGGGGAAAACATGGAATTCCTGTGGAGAGTATTGTAATTTGCAGCACAGAGATAGGGCACCAGCTGTTAGTACCTTGAACATGATAACTGAGTCGTGGTAAGAAAAGATTCACCCATTTTAAGCTATAGCATAATGTATACATTCATTTTTGGACAATGTTCATTTCCTTTTTAATGCAAAAAGATGAAGTCAGGTGTCAGTTGAGATGAATCACAGAATCACAGTCAGATGGAAAGGCAGAATGACTTTTACATGCTATTTCACAAAGAAGCTATGGAGTTGCCTGGATTCAGCCACTCCAATGTTAAGAACAAACTGCAACAGTACACAAAAATATCTTTGTCTTCAAATGTATTTTAAGTATATCTATTTAATAAAGAGCAGAATGGAGGCAACTTAGTAACTTTTTTCTTTTTTTTTTTTCAATGTTTGTTCATGCAAACATGCATTTTCAAACCAAGAGGTAGTATAGCATTTCATGGGACTTGGGTTTTGATTTATTGAGGTACAAAGGAATCTTCATGGTTAAACCTATCTTAAGGTAAATTAAATTTGAAATGAGAAAATTGAAGCTTGGCTAAGGGCTTGATTATTTTGAAAAAGACTTTGAAAGATGCTAATAAATGCTAATGTGAGGCATTAGGTTTTCTTTTGATAGAAATGGACACATGCAGGTAAAAAAAAGTTTGGAAAAGGAGAGTAAAAATAGCTGGCAAAAATGAAGAAGCTGAAAGGAAAATTATCTAGAAACACACTTTGGGTTTCTGAGCGAGTTCATACCTCAGTGTAAGGTAGGCAGCTGTAGGTATCTGATAATGATTCCCTCATGTTCTGGACTTCTGAACATTCATTTGAATGATGAACTAGAATTGGTTCTCTGAGTGGCACTTCACAGTGGAATGAAGAGTCATGCTTGAGAGCAAGTTGGATGTTATTATTAAAGTGAGTGTCCACTTTTCAATTTCTAATTAATCCTGTACTTTTATCAGAGGCATGTGTTGATTGAAATAATTTGATTGTTGCTGGGAAACTTATATACTGAAACTCGAGAAGTCACTTTTATATTATCTTTTTTTTTCTTATTTTTATATTTTATTTTTTTTAAATGATTGCTGCCTGTGTCTGGAACTAAATAAAATTTTTATCAGACAGATGCTTGGGAAGCATAGCCATTTGCTTTTGATAATGTTGGAGGAAGGCTGAAGCAGATAATGCTAATGTAATGCTGTGCAAGCAAACCATTGCCAGTTCTTTGGAAAACCTGTAACTGGGCAAGCTTGCTTTGAATTTTGCCTCAAGTTTAACTTGTCTTGTGAGTATCCCATGCAGGAGTGACTTGCAAATGTTACCCACCAGTTACCAAAATGCTTCTCCAACAAGTGACAGTCTGTGACCCTTCTTTTTTGTACTTACCGCATACAGCTGTGCCATTGAACACATATTATTGGAGTTCTCAAAGGAAATTTGGTATCCATGGTCCTTTATTCCTTTCTGCAGGATCTTTAAATCATTCACTTAATATATATCAGAGATATAAATGTGTGTTTGACTAGAATAGTCATCTTTCACAACATGGACAGAATGGGTTTGGTGGGCAGTAGCATGGAAAGAGGTAGATGAGAGCGAAATAAAAATGCTAAAAGGAATGAAGAGGGAGACTGGACAAAAAAACATGAAAAGGGAGCAGAACAGCAGCAGCTGTTCTGTAGAGAATTTATTTAGATTTCAAATGTTCAGTAGAGAGAATTTATTTAGATTTCAAAATACAACCTGGACTCATCTCCATGTTCTTTTTAATGAAATAGTGACATGTCAAATCTCAGTTTCATTAAAACTCATTTTAGATGATCATTTCTGGATTTCCTCAGAAGTAAAAATATTTAACTCTTATTTCAAATATACTGGAAGAGGAACTTTCTAGGGAATTCACTGTTCAAAGAACTATGGTAGGGAAATGAAAGTCTCCATGAGCACTGGCAACTATCTTGATATACAAATGTTTGCTGCTGGCTGAGTTGTACTTTCTAGCAGATATCTGCAAGCCTCCTGCATAGTAGGATCAGCATGCTTTGGAGTCTGTTGGAAGTTTTGGGAGACCAGACTGGACATTCTGAGTTAAACATTGCTTTCCGAAATTCTCATTTTGAATTCAGCCAGTAGTAGATCACGAAGTGCCTTGTAGTGATAAGAGACTTACAAATGGTAAGCAGAATTCTTTCATAACTGTACGAGACTTGTGAATAGAAATACTTCATTCATCTTCTTTTACTTGAAATAAAATTTAAAATGTTTGAGTTTAACAATGTACGTTTGCTGAAAAGAATTAACAAAGAACATGCTGCTTTTTTTCCAAGTCTGACACACTGTTGATCTACGAGGAGTAAGAACAAGCTGTAACTTAAGTCTTTATGACACCAAACTTACTTTGGTCATTGCTTTAACCCTTGTCCTCTGAAACTGTACAGCAAATGTTTTGCCCTACTTTTAGCTAAGAAGGTAAAGATTGCAAGATGGGAAGATACTGATAGGCTTATTGTATAAAAATTTCCAAATTGGCCTTTTGGCCCTTAAGTTGTCATTAACTTTCAATGAAATTGCAGGGAAATAGCAAGGATTATTAATGTGAAGTGAAACTAAACATTTACTTCTAGCAAAAAATATGGATATATGTAAATATTTACACATAGCATGATGTCCAGTGAGATAGAAGCTTCTGAAAATTATACTCTTCCTTTCCTTTTGTTGTCAGCTGAATTTATGTGGTGATTATATACTATAGTCAATGACAAGTATTTTAAATATCACATGACATGTTGTAGTATGGGGTGATATACCTATAAATTGAAGAGGGAAAATATGTCTTAAGTGCTTTCAGAGACAACATCATTTGCTACATTTACAATAAAGCACTGAAACTGATTTAATTGATGTATTTTAAATAAATGCTTTTGAAATTAAACTTTCATTACATGAATAGAATGTTCTATAATAATAATTTTTGAAGAAATTGGTTTAATTTCTTTAACCTTTATGCTTGTAGTGAGTGTTTACATTTTTTTTAATGTGTGAACAAAATGATGCTCATCTGTTTTCACCTCCAGACTCTGGTTATTGTCACTGCTGAATATATCTTTTTTGGGAAGTAAAAAGGCTGTCAAGACTCAGCTTTTCATGCTGCAGCTTTTTGTGTAAGTGTTTAGTAATGAGAAAGTTGGTGATGAAAATCAACAGTAGTTGATGGGAGAATAAAACAGTAGAGTACTTTCATGTGTCCTTTGAATCGACTTGAATTGTTGCCTCTCCACACCTACCCTTTGGCAGGTTTCAACCAGAAGAGTTGGTGTAAAGTAAGGATTCTGTGGAATAACCAGTGAGGGGAAATACATGTAGGAGAAAAGCTACTGCTGATGTATTTGTAAAGGATTTCTAAAATGTAGTATTTAACTGTTTGCTTCTTTCCTGTGTGGCCTGTTGCCCTCACTCAAGCTTTTAAAATAGATTTAGAGAGAATAGAGTAATGCAGACGTGTTTCTACAGTGTAAGACAGAAAGAAAAGAAGCGGCGATGTCTCTGTACCTATATTAAAAAGCATACTCACATTAAAACCTGAAGCCACAGAATTCAGTGGTTCCTTATTTATGAAATGGGAGGAGTTGAATTAAGATTACTCCTTCAGAGACGTAGTCTAATGCTAGTCTTGTCCTCATCCCCGTTTCTGAAAGCAGACCACAGTCTTCATATGTGTTGTTCATATGTGTTCACCTGCAGTCCCGTTTATACATATATTAATCAAAACTACATTTCTACAAGAAAATATTACCTAGGTATAGACAACACATCTGTGTCCTGGAGGTTGGGGTTTTTTTTCTGAGTTTTTCTCAATTTATTATTAGGTTGGTTTTGTTTTGGTTTTTGTTTATTTTTCTTCAGGTCAGAATTTTTTTAGATGTAGATAGGACATCATGAAATCATCTTCTGCCACAACAGTCTTCCTTCCATTGGTTGGTGGCAGCATCAGGTTTTCTCTTTTTCCATCAAGTTAGTCTGTGGGCCGTCCTTACGCTATAACTAAGTTTATCTGCTGAGGATTGCTTTGCACCAGCTTCAGATAGTCCAAATGCCTAAAGCCAAACTGTTCACTTCAGCTGTTAACTTTTATATTACTGCTTCAAAATTTCACATCCTGTGTGTTTAACTTTGTGGTACCAACTGATGCTCATTAGCTTTGCAGCAAAATCAAGACACCTAATATGGTGTGTGTGTCCTTTGATGTTTCCTCTAGAGATCAGCTATTAGATCATTTCCCGCTTGGCTTGTACAATATGACCTGGATAACGAGTGGCTCCAGTGGAGAACATGACTTTTTTCAAGATTTAAAGCATATGAATAAGTTTGTCCTGGAAACCTTTTGTAAGAGTAAATGGATGTTTTAATATGTTTGTTGCTTGTAGAGGTCTTGACATTTTATCAGGTTAGGGACTAATTGCTTTTATTCTGAGTAACTGGCTCATTACGGTCTTGCTGCAGGAAGATAATGTAACTTTCTAAATGTGAAAAAAGTTTCAACTGCCATAGCAATTTTTTTTATACTATACAAGCAAATACAAAAATGTGCTCACATGTCTAATTTATCCTTCTTTGTTCATGGGCCCTCTTACTGCTTTTCTTCTTTTTTTTTTTTTTTTCCCCTCCTTAGATCCTGGATATGAACATTTTAAGATAGCAGAAAAGTCCCATGGTAATTGGATCAAACTATATTTAGAGGGGAATAATTCAGAAATACTCTTAAACCTTGGCAAAAAGGTCCTGAAGCAATATTTGGAGGCCCTGAAGACTCTGAGTTCTTCACTAAGCAAACAAGTGGCACAATATGACATGTATTCAATGATGGTGGGGACTGTGATCATTATGGAGGTACAAAAATACATCTTTCTGTGACAAAGCTAAGTGTACAAACATAAAATTTTCTGGTTTGTGACTATTTAGTGTATACTTTTACTGGTCTCTAGAATTACTGAGTGTGAACTCTTAGAGTTGGCTTACTTTCTGCTTGGATGAGGTTAATAGTCTTTTAAAAGTATGACTTAGCCTTTAAAATTATTCAAGAGAGCTTTTGATATAAGCTACTTATGTTTTGGTGTAACTATAGTTACAGTAGATCTGCAGATGTGCTACAACTTGAGTTACTGCTATGTTAGTTAGCCTTCTACTTTTTGAGCAGCCTTACTACATTAAAAAAAAAAAAAGTCTGGCAAGTAAGTTCCTACCTGTTCCTCTGTATCTAACAGTGAGTGTAGCTGCTCAGAACAGGCAATACCTTGTGTGGGCAATTTTCACAATTTCAAGAATTATTCTTCATGCTGATAGGTGTAAAGCCCTGAAATAAATACTCACTGTAAGGTGCTGGGTTGCTACTTCATATCTCACGTAGGAATAAAGATAAGATATCCCGTGTGCAGAATTTTAAGTGGTTCTCTGCAATTGATGTTTTGGGCAAATCTCAAATGCTGGAAATACTCTCTGTGGTAATGCTTTGAGAACTATGCTGAAGGGATACCATGCCTGGATACTGAACTTTTATGTACAGAAGCTTGCACTGACCTTTTAGATTACATGAGTGTCAACTTTTGTAAGGATAAGCATTGTTCCCTAGGGTGGAAATACCTACTACAAGCTTAATTTAGTCCTTGCACATGTGTGGTGCTGTACAAGACTATTCTCTGTGTATGGAGTACATCTGAAATGGCTTTCTGTTAGGTTGCTCAGTGGGGTTTATCACTGTGCTTACTCCTTCACAGGAATTAGTTACACAGTGCCCTTGGGAGATGAGATGGTAGGTTCTGTTCCTGCTCTACAGATGGCAAATCTGGAGGCGAATAAAGCTCAGCACAAAGCTGAAGCGCTTATATTTCTTTTTTGTTCTGTTTTGGGAACCTATACATTCAAGCTCTTAACAGTTACTTTGGACCTGAAGCATTGGATGATTTCTTTTTTTTTCTGGAAGGCAGTTGTAGGTGCTTACTGTTTCTACAAAACAGATGTCAGGTATTTTACTCAATGGGCCTTCATCAAAAGAAACAGGCAACCATGAAAACGTTGGTTGACAAGAGCTTGCTCAGCAGCATTGTAAGAGTCGTTGCAAAACTGCTGGAGTTTTTTTCTTTTCTCCAGTGTAGTACTCCACAAACTGCCTTGCTTTCCAAAGTCTTTTTGTCTTGATACGTAGTTTCCACCCTCACTGAATAAATAAGGGTAGGGAAACTCATAGGTTACTTCAAACTATGCTATGCTATAAATTCCATTTATCCTGTATTTCACATGAGGAGAATACTTCTGGGACATGAATTGTTAACAGTGCATTTGCTCAAAAGAACTAAATTTAGATCTGTAGATAACTACAATTTGAGCATTTTCCTATCATAAGTGCTGTCTTTGTTTTAATTGTAAGTGCTGTGTTAAAAGGTAAGACGTAAGCTGATTTAATACTGTGAAACTTCATAGTTTCATAACCGAGTGAACTGCGAGAAGTAAAATGTGAAGAAGACGGAAGACTAGTGCAATGCATTGGATTTTTTTGGTGTCCTTTTCTATACGTCACTGTATCGTGGGAAAAAATTTAGGCAGAGGTCTTCACAAGTGACAGTGAAAGATTACAGGTTGGCAATGGTCTGATAAAGTTGTTTTTGTCTTGATTTATTTTAATCTTGCCCTAGCTCAAGCTGATTGAGCTCAGTCTCGTCCTAGCTCCATCTGTGCCCCTTACAAACCATTTTAGTGTGTGGCTGAATTTTCCCTTTACTTGTAAAGGTTTGTACATGGGTAGCAGAAATTATTCGTGATATTATTCATTTCCACTGCTACAGTTCCTTGAGAGGAAAGTTGGAATTCTGCCTGATTTGTGTGCAGGTTAGAGCAAAGCAAAAGTAAATCCAATAAATCAAATTGAGGTAAGGAGAGGTACAAAAAATAAATACCGGGAGAATTCATGAGCTTGAAATGCAGCATACACTTGTGTAATAGTATGAGAACTTTCCCTGGTTTGGGAAGCTATTTAACTCAGCAGGATCTCTGTGTATGTGTATATCACACATTGTGGCCTTTGGCAGAGTGTGTATGTAGCTTTAGGCATTTACAGGTGACAAATAATGGATTAAATTTCTTCACTTAAGAACTAGTTTGATATTGTGGAGTTAAAACTCTTACTTTTGCAGGGAATGAAGTTCACACATATGATCAGTTACCACAGGTGGGGTGGTGCATGGTAATTTATTAAACTCTGGCAACGTGTGTGTCCAAGCCCTTAACACAATCTTTAATTTTTCCCATTTATGTGGTAATATCTTACTGGGGTCAAAAAATCCAGCATAGTTCTTCATAGTTTGGATTTTTTTTTTTTTTTACATATTAACAGTATGATTTTTTGGTGTGAATTCTCTGTGTGTTTTAGCTAACCCAAATTCTTTAAGTATTAATTATCTAATTTTTTCTAGGTTCTGCTGCTGCTTTTGCTCAGTGTTCCAAAAGCCCTGAGCAGCCAGGCAGAATTTGAAGTGCCCCTTTCCCCTCCACTATTCTCTCTGCTGTTTTACTTGATGTGTCTGATGCTGTGTGCAGTTCACGTCATTGTATGCACATCGGCAGAAAGTTTATGCTATTTCTGCAGTATGTCCTGGTTAACAGCAGTTGGAGTGATGATGCTGATTTCTGCACTCATGTGCGGTATTTTATCTGCCATTGCAAAGATCTTTGAGAGTTCCAGACTTCGACTGAAGGTGAGAGCATGCGTTAATTATGGTTCAAAATGTTTTGCTTTTTATGGCACACTTTCAGATAAAGTTGTATAAAAATTTTCTGTGTGTATACTTAAAGAAATTGTTATTTGTAATGTAATTTGAATAATTTAAAATAGTAATTGAAATGTAGTGTGTTCGCTGTGGCATGATACTGATTGCTATAATGAAGATCATAGAGGTGCTTATTTTCACATTACTTTGAAAAATGTTCTAATTAGTGTAAATTATTTTGCAGTTGATTTTATGAGATCAGAAACAGTTACGGTCTATGCTAATTTTATGTTGTTACACAGTGATGTTTCACAATTGCAGTTAAAAGAAGATGTATGATATTTTGCAACAGCATGCACCAGTGATGATTTGTCCTTTTCCAAATACCACAGACATTAATGCTTTAAGACTAATAAGAAAATACTTTGCCAGTACCCTTTCTTATATTGGTATTCTTAATGCTTTTTTAAAAATAGTTTTGAAACTGTAACAGAGGGAGCAAAATCTATCTGTCTCTTCTACTTTTCAAGTTAAACTTTTTAAGTTTAAGAAATTGAGTTTGTTACGATCTTGGAATGCTCAGAAATGTTCTCAGTTGTGTGAGTAGTTACCTTCTGTAAAGTACTTGATGAGTTTTATTGTTGTATTGAGTAGAATTCAGGTAATTCCAAGGAAATAGAATTTGCAATGTCTTACTTTTCTTTCACTGTGAAACTTAGTATGCCAAGAACTGTCAGTTACACCATAGAATCAGCTTCTAGCTGTTTTTTCTGATGCTCATTAGTCATATCTTTCAAAGGTTTCTGAAATTCAGTAACTTCAATGCTCTTAGTGCTCTATTCAATGGTACTATCTCTGTGCAGAACAGTCCTTTGTCAGTGTGGGTTTCTTTGAATCACGTTTGGGATTTTAGTGCCTTTTTTTTGTGGTGTGGGACAATGAAGTAAGACTGCTGATTTTTATTATTCAAACTATAGCAGTTTGTATTTTGTTTCTGTAATTTCTGAATTTGTGTTATTCCTTCTTGGAAATGCTGCTTTTCTGAGAGAAGCCTTGGACTAAAAGAAATACCCTTCTCTCCTGAAGACAGCTTTTTTTCGCCCCCCCTTTTCAATTTTCTTCAGTGCAATTCATTTAAGAGTATTGAAAGTGATTAAAAAGGGAATTGTTGATAGAACATGGTGTTTTGATCTTATGTTTATATTTATCAGCCACATAAGATTTAGATGTGTCTGTTGATCATTTAGATAGACTAAAATAGAGTAAAAGGTCAGCTAACAGTGTGTGCTTAATGAAATCAGGGAAAGAAGTTTAATCTTGGGTATAGCTGCTAACAGAACAGTCTTTGGAAGGGTAAATTACAGTTTGCTTTTGGTGCTGAAAATTTTTGTGTAAGTAGTGTTAATGTTTTGCTGCCAAAGCTAGTGTTGCCTGTGTGTTTTTTTTTTTTTTTAAGGCAAATAAAAGAAGAAAGTAAAATTACTCAATGTGAATGGAGAAATCTACTGAATGAGATGTCTAGTTGTACAGTTTGTTAACACTGTTGGTACTTAGGGACATGCTGGTCTGTAAATGGATTTGGTTCACATCTGCCATTTCTGAGTTATTCTACTTAGGGTCTTCATCAGCTTTCTGTATTTTATTGTAAACAAGGTAGAAATTATTCTTAGAAAAAGTAAAAGAATATGGTCTTGAAATAATAATTAACAATCCAATGTATTCTGTAGAAACTTAACATCTACTTGCTGTGCAATGATAAACAAATACAACTACGGAAGACAAGCTCATTTTTCATCTTAATTGTTACCAGTTTTTCTAATTCTAGCAAACAGTAATAATCTAAAAAATTATGACTGTCTAGACCTGCTTATAATTTACAGACATTCCACTACAACAGAGTTGAGAGCAATGGCAGTGTCATATAGCTTTGTCCTCCAGGTTGATAGTCTCAAAGCAATTCAGTCTATCTGTGACCAGAAATCTTTGTTATATGGCTAAAGATGAGTTAATTCCTTGTGACACACACTACTGTAGGAGTAACTTTAAAGTAACTTTATATGACCTAGGAAAAATGCTTTCCTACTAGATCAGGTTGGAATCTATGAAGATGCTGCTATTCCTTGGCTATTACTAAATTTAGAATAGGCTGTTACCAAGTGTTGGTTGATAGGTACAAACTCTGCCTTTTTAATTTGGCCTGAGTCTTAGGGTTTCATTCCTGTCTGTTCTTGGCATGTTTTCATGCTTGTTGGTGAGAGACAGCTGCTGTGCTGGTGTGATCAGCTTCCTGCAGATGGCTTATATATTGCTAATACAGCTGGTCTGTCAGTGATCACAGCAGCAGTTGCAAAATGTCTCCTGGTATTCAAACTTTGAGTTGGGTGGAAATGCTTTTCTTATGAAAGGAATTAATTGCTAGGTCCCTGATGGAGGCAAATAATTCCTCAAGGAACAAACACATAAAAAGAAGCACCCGTATAATCCATGCTGGTCCACTTTTAGAATTAATCTTTCTTAGGAACTTTAGAGGAGGAATTGCCATTTCCATACTCATAGTCTTTTGGCCATTTCTGATGATTCCACCTGGTCAGTTATGCCTAGGGAGCACGGACAGGAGTATGTGTGAGAAGTCTGTATCTATCCCTTCTATTTCAGTTGCCTGCCTTCCCTACTCCTGCTGTGTCTGTACATCTGCCTATGAGGACAAACTGAGCAAATCCAGGCAAACTGATTAGAAATTATATCCAGGATACTGTATCCAGTTTCATATCTTTTCCTCCAGCACACCACATTCTGCATATGAGAGACCACAGCAGCTGGAGCTTTCTCCCTGGTTGATGTTGGGGCTTTAAATTCAATCCCCTGTTGCTTGAAGAAGAATGCTTCAGCAGCAGCTTATCTCCTTTTCCTCTCTGGTACCAATTATGAGACCATCTGGAATTCAAGAAGTAGGAAAAAACCCTTTTTATTCACAAGCGAAACTTGGTGTCACTGGCAATAACACTTCTGTCATTTTAGGACAGGGATCGGTCAGTGTCTCTTGGATGTGAAAATGCTTATTTTCACGTCACCTTTGAAAATATCTACAGTTATCAATTCAAGCATTTCCTGGTTGAACTAGAAGGGTGGGGGAATATTTGAAATTGGTGCATACATGTTTTCTGGAGTTTTACCTAGCTGGGACCTCAGGACATACCAGCAGATGATCAGATCATCTGCTTCGAGTTGATAATACACGAATGAGGAGGTTTTCAGCAGTGTTTTCCAGAAGGTTAGTATGTGTTTGTTTTTCCAGTGGTGGGGCAGATAGAAATAAAAAATACTGGATTCTCCACCTCAGGTCTGTCTGTGCTTATATTCCTACCTGAAACATATCTGAAAACGTGGGAAGCTGAAGTATGTCTTATGAAGTGTACTGAAGTATGTCTTATGAAGTGTAGGCAATAGTAATTCTGGTTGTGGCACGTGTGACTTTGTATCCAGACCTGTAGAAATCCATCCTCATCATCCTATCTTCAATGCTATTCTGTAGGTGACTCGGTTGCTGGATATGTATCTCATCTCATCAGTCAGATAGGCTTTGCTGTCTCTATTCAAGTTTGAAAGGAAGCTTGCAATATTTTGTAGGTTTAGTTAGTAAGTACCTCCATTCCAGACGCATATAAAAGAAGTGATCTGGATTTGATTTACATTTTTACCAGTCTCAGGGCTGTTGCAGAATGGTGTGGTGGGGGTTTTTTGCAGGTGGCTGCTTATACAAAGATAGAGCCTGGAGAATGTTAAAGGAGCAGTGGATAATCTGGTGCTGCTTGCAGTGTGGATGTGAGAGGTTATTTACTGGTAACTGGGGCACAAACACTATAATTCACAAACATTCATGTCCCACCTTCCATCCCCTTTTCCAGTAGAATACCTAGACTTTGGGGAAGAAACTGGTCATCTGTATATGCTGTGTGTTGGTCTGGAAGGGACTTCTGTGTTAGGACTATTACTTATGCTGTCTGAATTCAAGTGTCTGTGACCTCATGCATCTCCACAGTGCGAATCTGCGTATGGGCTCCACTTCTGAAGAAGCTCTGAAGCCCTGCTCTTCTGCTGGCAGGCGTAGAATCCTGAATCAGGGTCTTGCCAGTTAAAAAAGCTAAAAACCTTTTCTAATCTCATGCTTTATGATAAAATGTAGGTATTTTAAAAGTAATTAAGATAAGCTCTCCTGCTAATGGCTTCAGAGCTTTTTTCCTTAAAATTGTTTCCGTTCACATATAAAGATTTCTCTGAAGTGCTTCCCATTTGTAATGCTTTTTTTCCACTGTGGCTGAATATAGAAACTGATTACCAAGTTCATGAATTTTCTGAAGACCATTGCAGGCAGTGTTAGCATCTGCTTCCTGACTGTTATTTATAGGTTCTGATTACTATGTTTCTAGCAGCACCAGTCCCTTCTTTTAATGACACTTCAGGCTTTAAATAGTTCTGCAGCCCTTTACGAATTCCAGAAAATCGTCAAAAATTTTAGCTTCTTGTTCATAGCTTCACTCAATTGCTTGGTAGTTGACTTAAGTACACTATTTACTACTACTAGATGTATATTTTTTTTTCCTGTTTCTGATAGAAATCAATACCAGTATTTTTTGAAAGGAGAACACAAAAGTTAAAGCCTGTCAAATATGTTTTTTTAAAATTTTCATTGTGCAGAATTATATTGGGTTTTTAGTTATGTAAACAAAATGTCCCTCTTCCTGTTTATTTTAAAATACCTTGTTCACATTAAAATATTTTTGTTTTTCCTCCTCTGTGTGATATTCTTTACTGAATTGAACAATAAAACATTTTTATGCAATTGTACCTAAATATTTTTTTTTTTACTTGTTAAAAAATAAAAGGTGATTGGATAGTGCCTTTACTGGGTAGCTTTCAAAAATTATCTCAAACTGCTGTGAAAATGCAGGAGCAAGTGTAGTACTGTTGTACTCTGTCATAGGGAAGTTATCATCATTGGGAATCAAGACTGGGTGCAGGGAACAGAATGGTAAGTATTTAAATTTTGGGTGATGGTGGGCATGAAAAATAAAACGTTTCTCATCTGAAAAGTGATTGTAAAATTCCTCAGGCATTAACTGTGGATGGTTAATTTTTGTGAAAAAGAGCTTTACTCTCAACCATAAAGAAGTCACATAAGTGGAATTGGACCCAGAAGGTAGACTACAGGAGGTTTTATTTCAGAGTGAAGGAAATGTAAGTTTAACGGGCAGAGATGCATATAGTCCACTGTTTATGTACTGGCACTTCTGCAAGCTAGCAAGGTATGTTCAATGATAGGCCAAAGAGGTCAGTTTCTGTATTACTTAATTACTAATGCTGATACATCAAATGTTAAAGCTACCTTGGCTTGGCAGATTATAGGCTTAAATTGAAAGCCCGGCATTATAAATTTCTTAACCAAAGATTCTGTATTTTGCCCAGATATTGGTGCAAGTCGTGCAAGTCTTTTAGTATCTGGAGTGCCTACTGAGTTCCTGAGGGTTGGAGGTGTTCAGCAGCTAGAAAGACAGAGCTGTGAATATCAGAGTAGGACCTACATTTCTGTCTCTGTAAACCAGATCTAAAAACTAATAAAGGCACAGTTCACATGTGAGGGATTACCAATAAATTTAGAAAAACTTGATGACGCTATTTTCAGTATTTCTTAGATCATGATGGCTCAGGAGATTATAATTTTCAGGATAATTTTTCATTTTACATCGTGACTAACTCTGGTCTGAAATACAGTTTATCAATAAATGCCATTGGACTTTAACCCTTTGATGTAAATATAGCGGTAATTTTTTTCTTTTTTCACTGGAGTTGTGAGAATCAGACAAGCAGACAAGAAATACAGATTTCTGACACTGGGACATTTCACACTAATGCCGTCATTTTCATGAGGCTTTTGCATGTTCCCCATTGGTAATGCATCACATCTTCAGTTTTCATGTCAGTGCTGACAGCAAACAGATACAAGAGAGCAATCCATATATAGATTTTATGTCTTATAAAGAAGACCAATTGTGTTGAAGACTGGTTCATTCTCATTTGTTGAGGATCTCAGATTCCTTTGTCTCTGCAAACAGATAGTGCTTACATGCTCCCTCATTATTTAGTTAGCCAAGAGCTTTAAGGTCAGCATGATGGAATTTAAGCTTTCTGTAGTTTAGTCATTTACTGTTCTTGTTTCAGCTTTGTGAATTTCATGGTCTTTGGTCTCTGCACGGACTACATCTCTACCTTATCCTTTTGTTCCAGAATGTATCTTAAGGTATTTGATTTCCAGAATAGAATACTAAACAAAGAGGAGTGGTCTTTAGAACACTGAAGAAATTTCAAATGCTAGTAAATTTAGATTGGGCCTGGGCGGTTTTACACATTATGACTCTTCTTGTGCTAAGGTTTTAGTGGTTTCTTCCCCTGATATTGTTATATTGTTGTGTGTAACCTCATGCGAATTTTTTGTTGGTTTTGTTTGTGTGTTTGGTGGGGTTTTTTTAAGTGAAGTGACCTTGGTGTAATATATTTCTTTAACGACACAAGAAAAGGAGGTGATCTGAATAAGTGATAACTTTAACTATATCTTCTGCATTCTTTCACATACATCTTATTAAATCTTGATTTTGCAGAAGTTGTTTTCCTCAAAGCAAAATTCTGGATAGTGTCAACTACCTTCTTGCATCAAGTGTGTTTGTTGTCCTCTCCATGCTACACTATCTTGCTTATTGAACAAAAATACATATGCTGCTGTCAGTAAATCTTAAGCATAAGTGAGACTTGCATCTAAGATGCTCAGGAATATTTGTATTGTGTACACCCGCTTTATTTTTACCTTCTCTAAGATAAGTGAGTTTCTATATTATTCTTACAAATGATTTAAACAGTTCAGGAATCATAATACACTGTGCATCTTTGAATGTGCGTATGTTCTCTGTGAGATTTATCTGTATGAATATTCAAGGCGTTTTTTTAAAGTTTGTTCAGAAGGTCAAATGTAGGAGGATGAAGTGGTTGAAATGTGCAGTTAGAGAAACTAATGTGAAAGTAGTTTCAGAGCTCTTTGTTCTGAAGTAAAAATGGCATGCAGTAGTTTTGATTTGGCTTTTAAATTGTTATTTATTGGGTGTTTAAAATAGCAATTTAAGAGATACTCTCTGATATTCTCTAATAGAAGAAAAAATAATGAGAAAATAAAATGGTAAAGGATGATTTTTGACAGTGTCTTTCCCAAAATGCTTCGCAAGTATGTAACACCATGTGTTAAGGTACGTTAGGAAGCCTGTGCTGGCTCCAGTGGCCTCCAGGGCTGGGGCATCTGTCCTGGCCTTGCTGCTGGAGCCTAGCTGTGCCTGCCCAGCCTGGGCTCCTGCCCCCACCTCTGGCTCAGGCTCTGAGGAGAAGTTAAACAGATAGAGGTCCCTCCAGTCAGTGCCCTTGTGACCTCTCACATAGGTGCACACTCTGGGGCCTCCAGTTTCTGATGCAGACCTACAGGCTTGTAGCTGCATGGTCGCTTTTCCTGTTGCTGACACCCTAACCTCTCTTGCACTCTGATACCTCTAGCTGGTGGCGCACCTTGGGCATACAGTCCCCATGACCTGTGGTTCCCACTTTGGTCTCTGGCATGTGGACCCCCATGCTCTGCAGTCCCTGGCAGTACAGGTGTGTGGGTCCAAAGACCCGTATTCCCGCTTGAGGTGCTGGCATTTGCTTTTACTCGCCGTGTCTCAAGTTGCTGGCATGCAAGCTTGTCCCCAGTTACTTGCAGTGAGACCTCGCAGCACCCGCAGGTGGGACAGAGAGTGGAGTTGCACAGAAAGACAGGAGAGGATTTAATAAGACAGGATAGAAAGCAGTGATCAGGCACAGGGCTCAGTCAGAGAAGCGTGCTGACTGGCTCCTGCTTTATGTGACTCTGGCCCCTTTATCCTTCCTCCTTTCACTTTGCCCCCTGCCTCCAGCCTGTTCCTCCCCACCCCCTTTCCCCCACCTTTGACACTTTCCTGAAGTATTGCTTAATGAGTTTGCATAGATCCACAGGCGCCCTCAGATATCCATAATACTTATGTTCCGTCGCTTCCCCCTTATCTGTTACAAAGTCCAGGCTGATGCTCTTCAGAGCTATGCCTGTGGTTTCTTAATGGCCTGTCAATTAATGGCTGAAGAGTTTTGGTCATCTTTATGATCTCCCTTAGTGCTTACTTATCAGGTTTGTGTCTCTTTGTGGTCTTTTTATGGCTTTCCCTGTTACTTAGTATTCCCTGTGAGCCGAAAAGGTCCTTTACCTGATAATGTCAATGAACCAGATGCTCTCACCTTCCACATGCCCGTCCACTCTTTTTTTAGCCATATCATCGAGGGGTGTGACGATGAGGCAATTCCAAGAAGCTGCTATGAACAGGAGATCGAACTAATGGAGGCATTAGGCAAAGAATATTATGGTTTTAGATAGGAACAGTGTGTGAAGTAGATAATAGATGGATAAGGTTTAAAGTAGATTTTATGATGAAAGACACATTTCAAGCTAAGTAAGGTTGAGGGGTGCCATCAGACTGTCTGCAAGTAACTTTTGTTAATTTGCGTAGTGAAGGATGTCATTGTACTGAGTTGAGGGTAGCATAGATTTAAACTATTAGAAAATTACCTATTATCTGTATCTCATTTGATTTCTGCAGGATTTCTATTTTTACTTCTGTAAATGTGCAGTGAGGTTGTTCCAAACCTTCTGTCACATGCTGGTAGGGAATCTTAATCTGTGCAGTTGTGATGATTATTCATAGAGAAGTTTTTTCCCTTAAACAGAATGTCATTTTAAACAGTATGATTATGTTGTAATGCTAGCTTAATAGGCTACACAAAAATGATTCTTTTAAATTTTTGGGGGATTTGTCAAGATAGAAATAACTTGTCTCACTGTTTATTTTGTTTTCTTAGAGGAAATTGCTGTAAGCACACTATGAATGCTTAAACAAGTGAAATTTTTATACACTTTTAACATTTTTTTTTTTTTTTTTTTTTTTTTTTCAGAATCCAGTTGTGTCCAGTTCTAGCTGGTCAGAAATAGATGTGCTGATTCTAGCTGGAACAATTGGCCATGTTTTGAGTTTGGGGGCAAGTAGTTTTATAGAAGAGGAACATCAAACCTGGTATTTTCTTATCAATACACTTTGTTTGGTGCTGTGTCAGGAACTTTGTAGAAATAATTTTCTTCTGAAAGAATGTGACCCTCAACATAGCACCACTGTGAAACAAAATTTTGATGTTATCAGAGAAGCCTCTGAGTGCAAGAATATAGACATTCCAGCAGCAGGTAATTCAAAATTGGGCAAGGCCACCTCTTCAGCTGAATTCATAAAAGGATCAGATAAGTGGATAAGTTTAGCGAGTCCATGGATCATCCTTATTTGCTGTCGGCTGCTTCGATCCTTGAATCAGACAGGCGTCCAGTGGGCTCATCGGCCAGACTTTGGACATTGGCTGACAAGGTGGGTATCTGATTTATTGTTATACTTTCTGTCTTAGTAAAAATGTATGTTTCATTTGGTGAAATATGTATACATTTCTATATAGTCTCTGTTTAGAAAGTGCTGTAAACATGCAAAGTGGGTAAACAGTGAAGTAACATAAGGAATTTTTCACTGCTATTTAATGCAGGAGTAATTCCTTGTGTACTATCAGTAGTTTATATCTTTGCCCTGCACCATGACTTATCTAATTAATGCCAATTATACATGATAGGTTTATCAGAGGCAAAAAGTAAATATTTTCCATGTGAAAGTCAACAGTGTCTGGTTTGGGAAATTACAAATCACTTAATAAAATTAAACCCTTGAAATTAAGGCAGAAGGTTCTGCTCAATTCCAAACTTCATGAAGTTGCAGGAGAAGATGCTGCACATAGAATTCTTCCTTGTCTATCACAGACATTTAACGTGTGGGTGGAAAACTGAAGGAATTTTTCAAGTGCAGTATGATAAACAAGAAAGGGAATTTTTTACAACTTGAAGTACACTGGAGAAAGTCTGCTACCTTTTAGTATTGTGAAGAACTACAGCCATTATTCAGTGATAAGAAGTACTTGATATTTGAACTGTCTTCTGTACTTCAGCTGGTGGATGGAGAAGCAACACCTTGTGACTGACTAGTCAGTGTTTTCCAGACAGCAGATGGGGAGGCTGTGCTGTGTAAGATAAAGAGATTTCTTGCCAGTATCTTACAACACGTGGATGAAATGTCATTCATCATTCATTAATAGCAACATGAGCAAATGAACTACTATGAGACTTGTTACTTATTGGCATCCTCACAGATAAAATGCTAATTGCTGTGACAGGCATGAGTGCTGAAAGACATGAATTATGAGGGAGTTTATCACATTATAGCAGTTGTTCTATACCAAAGCTTTTGCCATGCATTCCTCCTCTTGAGATGAAGTCAGGAATTGAGGAAGGAATGCCGTATTCCCAGCGTTAAGTACACATGATAGAGAACTCCTTCATTATGAGCTAAGCCAGTGTGTGAGCAGGATTATGTGTGATTTGGTGTGACTGGGAGGATTTTTATAATTAATCCTGAGTATCTTCCAAAGATTTATTTGCCCAATAACTGAGCCAGATGTCTTCTTCAGACTGTCAGCCCTTTTCTTTCGAGTGTACTAGTGCTACAATGCCGTGAAACAAGGACTTGATATTCTTGCAGCTGAAAAACTGCATTTGTTTCAGAGATGTGCTTTTGCTCATATTGTCCTCCAGGAAAGTTTACTGACCTTGGAAATGTTAGGAGCCTTCTAAAAATTGTGTCTGCATGCCTGGACTTTACTTCCAAAGATCCTGTCTCAATTAAGTGTGTTCCCACCTCTGATTTCCTGGTGCTAGGTATGCCTATAGAGCAGAAAACCTGTTACACCATTGGGCTGTGGGGACTCAGGGAGATAGCACAGGTAGAATGTAGTCTGCAGCTACAGCAGGTGCTTCTAGGGCTTCCTGATTTATAACAAAAGCTGGGAAATCCTGTATGTCCAGCTCTAACACTATTGCTTCTCAGGAGCTTTCAAGCAACCCACTCGGGTAAACCAAGGTGGTTTACACCTGTTTTGGCTTAGTCTTTTTTTTTCTGTTGGGGAGGAAGGGGGGAGAAGGGAGGAAGGAGGCTATTTTCGTGTTTCTTTTTTTTTTTTTTCTCCTGTGAATTTGAATTGGCAAGTTTTGCAGAATTCATATCCATCTATTGAAAACAGAATCACGTTGGAGGGGACCTCTGGAAATTATTTGGTTCAATCCCCCTACTCAGAGAAGAGTGATCTGGAACAGATTGCTCAGATCCTTGTCCAGCTGGGTCTTTGATATCTCCAAGCATGGAGATATCATAACTATTCTGGGCAACCTGTTTTCTTCCCCTCCCTCCCCCCAAATTTCCTTCTGTTTAAACAGAATTTCCTCTATTTCAATTTCTGTCCTTTGCCTCTTGTCCTTTGCCTCTGGGCACCAGAGAGAAGGATATGCTCAACATGAGATCAACATGAGCCGGCAGTGTGCACTTGCAACCCAGAAAGCCAACCATGTCCTGGGCTGCATCAAAAGAGGTGTGACCAGCAGGTCGAGGGAGGTGATTCTGCCCATCTACTCTGCTCTCGTGAGACCCCACCTGGAGTACTGTGTCCAGCTCTGGGGGCCCCAGTACAAGAAAGACATGGAGCTGTTGGAGAGAGTCCAGAGGAGGGCCATGAAGCTGATCAGAGGGCTGGAGCACCTCTCCTATGAGGACAGGCTGAGAGAGCTGGGGTTGTTCAGCCTGGAGAAGAGAAGGCTCCAGGGAGATCTAATTGCAGCCTTCCAGTACCTAAAGGGGGCCTGCAGGAAAGGTGGAGAGGGACTGTTTATCAGGGAGTGTAGTGACAGGACAAAGAGTAATGTGTTTAAGCTGAAGGAGGGTCGATTTAGATTAGATGTTAGAAAGAAATTCTTTACTGTTATAGTGGTGAGACACTGGAACAGGTTGCCCAGAGAGTTTGTGGAGGCCCCGTCCCTGGAAGCGTTCAAGGCCAGGCTGGATAAAGCTTTGGGCAACGTGGTCTAGTGGAGGGTGTTCCTGCCCATGGCAGGGGGGTTGGAACTAGATGATCTTTGAGGTGCCTTCCAACCCAAACCATTCTATGATTCTATGATATGGCTTCCTCTTCTTAAATACCCTCCACCTCCAATCAGGCTGGTAAGATCCATACTGAGCCTTCTCTTCCTGAGGCTAAACAGTCCCAGTGCTTTGAGTTTCTCCTTGTATGACAGATGCTCCAATCCTATCATCATTTTCCTAGTCCTTTGCTGTGCTTGCTCCAATATGTCCATGTTTTTCCCTGTACTGGTTAACCCATACCTGGAGCCAGGGCTGAGTACAGGGGAAGAAACACCTTCTTCAACCTGCTGATAATAATTTCATAATGCAACCCCAAATGCTGTTGGTCGTCTTTGTTCAAGGATACATTGCTGGTTAACAGTCAACTCAGGGTTCACCAGGATCCTCAGAGCCATCTCTGAAAAGATGATCAGTCCTCTATCTGTCCTGATTTGTGTAACTATTTGTTCCAAGGTGCAGGACTT